AATACAAAAATCCCGATTACAAAATGGTGGGTAGTGGTAGGACGGTGAAAAATACTTTGTATCATATCCTCATACCTTATCGTTTTATAGATACCATCGACCTGCCAGGGTATTGCAAGTTTCAGCCCCTCATCATACCAAAGGCTTCGACTAGCCTCTCTCTCCATCAGTTTAGCTTCGAGCCTGGTTTCTCTCTCTCTCTCGCTCTCTCTCTCTCTCTCTCTCTGCAGCCTCCATCTCTGCCTCCCTGTGTGTCTCTCTCTGGTTTGGTCTCTCGGCGCTGTTCCCCAGTCAAATGCAATTAACAAAACACGCTTCTAGCATAAAGTCATTAGTTATTCCATTTCATGAATATCCCTCTCTCATTTCGAACGCTTCGTTGAATATACGATATTCTATACCCTACGCACACATACATACTCGTATTTGTGGCTGTGTGTGTCTGGGCTCCTGCTTGAAGCATATGGAAGCACATTCGACTGTAAGTTAAAGCTCTCTGACCAAGGGCCAACGTGTACAAGTAGTATGTGTACCATAACAATATTATTTTGGTGGATTTTGCACCCAAAATGGCCGTCAGCAGTGAGTGGCTATTCCCTTGTCCCTACCACACATTCCATCCCCCCCTTAAGCCCTGCAACCATTTGTAGTTCAGGCTAAATTGGCATTCAATGTTGTACACAACTGTTGGTGGTGCCTCTGATGCGATGCTGTGCTGCCTTGTGGGGTTTTCGTGGTGCGGTCTGTTTTTCGACGTCACGTTGTTTGCTTTCACCTCAAGCTAAGTTTGCGAATGTTTCCCCGACCTGACCTTCCATCCCCGCCATGCCCATACCCATTGACACCCCAAAACCTCCCCCTCGGCCGGAAAGCAGCGTGTACGCCGGATAAACTTTTGGCATGAGTTCTTATAGGCAAAAATGGTTTTTCAATACTCAAAGATTTATGAGTCTATGAATCTTGTATACATGTGTAGGTGTGACTGTTCGTGTTGGCTGCGGGTGTGGGTGTGTGGCGACATGAAATACTGATACCTATCCTCCCGTAGATCTCCCAGCCACTGTCCGGATACCACTCTGCATATAAGCCAGAAATCCCGGCCAGAAATGGAACTCGTTGGACCAGCAGTAGCAGCAGCCCCCCCGTTAGAAGAGACCTAAAGCAAACACCACAAATTAGTCGGTACCGGTCGAACCGGTAAGCGTTTCAAGTGGGGGGAATGGGAAGGCAGATCAGAAGAGAGCCCTAAGGAGTGGGCCGGCGGCCGGGGGACCGGGTACAACAGCAAATAGAAATCAAGTGAAATTCTTGGGCAAAGCTTTGGCTGTGCATCTGGTAAAAGTTTTCCATTTCTCTTTTTTTTTGTAATTTTTATGTTCCACCGCTCGCTCTTTTCCTTCCCCCTTTTTTTGGTTGGAGATTCCTGGGAAACTTGGGGCAGCTGCCACATGGAACATGAATCAACACAGAAAGTCCTCAAAAGTTCTTTGGGATGATTTAATTAGAATTCTTGAAGATGTCACCCAAGGCTATGCCTGAGATGGTCTGCTTCTGCCCCGGTCTACGGTCTACAGTGTACAGTCTGGTGTGGCATGGTCTGGTGTGGCATGGTCTAGTCTAAGCCGGGGCTGGGCAACGTTTAATTATGATATTTTCAAGGTGGAAGTGGTGCCAGAGGGGGGAGGACGACGCACGGTGGCAAGTTGGCAAGGTGACAGGAGAGCGCCGGGGCCCACACCTCGCAGGTAGGTATTTTGTGGTAGATTAGCCCAGAGTTCAATGTGTTGATGTGCCGGGCTAAGGCATTCCTGATTGGTGTCGGGTCCCCGGGTGTCGTGGCGATGGGGCGGCTGTAGGAATATGCGATGGGGTATGATGGGATTTCGGGTGTCGGTTGTCGGCTGCTGGCAAACGATGTGATAAGTTAATTGAAATTAAATTTTAATTTCATGGGATAAAGTTCCCTTAGATGGGATTGCTTTTACGGAGGGGTGGGTGGCGATATCAATGTATAAATGGATATTCGCATGCTGAGGGGACTGTATGGGTGGGGATGTACGTCCAAGGATATCCAATCAAAAGGCAAGCCTCCCTTGGGTCTATTAGCAGAATCATTTCATTTCATTTCATTTTCCTCTTAATGGCAAACACACATGTCATGGTGCCTGGTGCCTAGTGCCTCAGACAAAAACCCCATTTATACATTATGTATACGACATGTTGTACAAGAGATTCAATCTTCTCCTGCCTTCCTCTGTCTTGAGGCCGCTGAAGGGTACCACTGGACACACACCAACATCTACACCTACACACCATCTATGTTAATTACCTATCGATGAAAATGCTTGAGCATCATTAATACTTCTTTGTTGCCACCTCTTACCGGTGGTCCTTGAGAGGCTTACACTCCGAAACGGGTTGAGTGCCACAGTCGCCTCGAGTGCGGTGCTTAAGGCCAGACACAATCAATCCATTGTCGGATTTCATTGCAAATAAATCAAAGCTTCAACTGTTTTCATCTCTCATCTCAGCCATCGAACGAATAGAGAAGTAATATCTGTCAATCCCCGAATCATAACTAAAGTTTTTGCAGCCAACCACGTAGGCACTGTTCTGAGCAATAATTTTTGACCTGCCAGGCCATTGCCTGGCTCTGTCGATCCAATTAAAACGAATCTTAGCCAGAGTTAAATGCCCGTCGGGCGGCCTCCATTGTGGCGGCCATTAACTATGCAAATAATGTGGGGATATAGACAAAATCGCGCCAAAGATTAATGTTTATTGATTTTCCTCGCCATTGATAATTTGTTACCCAACCAAATTGCCTGCCTGCCTGCCAGCCTGCCACACAGGACTAGGAATAGCAGCAGGACCCCTCGAAGTAACGACAAACCGAGTGCTATTTTTCTGGCTTACTTTTCTATTTGTGTGTAAAGCCATTCTAAGAATTTGATAAGCCCCCCCTTTTGGAATTTACGTCTGATGGAAGACAAAAGTTTTTGTGGGTATTTGCATTATTAAGTACCGCCCCCCACCGCTCCCAACAGATAGATTGGGATTGGGCTGCTGCTGTCGAATTGGGCCGCTCGCTGGTCGGTCATCCATTGAGCCGAAGGTGTCACATTGCTTATCAGACATCAAAGAACACGCACCTTGTGGTGCCACATCTTTCCCCCAAGGTTGGTTGCCATTGCAACCCCGTGAATGTGGGTGGTGACGAAATGGAAAGGGTCCCAAGCTAAGCTCAGGCCCAGGGTTTTTGGGGTTCCAGATTGGTTGCCAAGTTTCACGTTTACTTAAATAATTTCGTTTGTTTTGGTTTGTTTTGTTTGTCTGGTTTCTTCTTCTGCTTTGCATTTCGGAATATTAATTAAAACAAACTTTCGAAGGAATGTCGGTATTATCAGAAATAAAATAAGATAAAATAAAATAAAGCGGACTTTTTGGTGTGCCTCTGTTTGGGAATATAAATTGCATAAGAGAAACATTTACATGTCTCTTTTTACAATCAAAAAATTCGTTCAGTTTATCATCAACTTTGTGGGCAAAGAAAGAATGATTAGTTATAAAGTTGTATGCCTTTGGTTTTGTTTTTCAGAAATACAATTTGTATGTACAATATTTCCCTGTAGAAAAACTGGATATCATTTTCTCAAATCAAGAAAAATGATTGACAAAAATACAAAAATTTAAAAAAAAAATTGAATACCTATTTCTAAATATAATTTAGGCAAAAAATTGCTGACTTTCTGTTAAAGGTTATAGAATAGCTGTTATAAGGTCTTAAGAATTAAAGATTCCCACTGCCAAAATAAGGCCTTGTTCTTTTTATTATAAGACAAATCTAAATTTGCATGGTAAAAATTTCTTTTAATGCCTATTAAGTCTGCAAATAGCTTATACGCCTCAGAATTGTATCTTCTTTGCTGAGCTTTTTATACCCTTTTATTTAATTATGTCTGTTATAAGAAACGACTTAAATTAAATTAACTTTTTTTTATAGAAGCCTTAAAACAAGAAAGTGAAAGTATCAAAATCTGAAACAATGCGCTGGCGCTGCCTTAATCAAATTTGAGGACATCATGTGGGTGTATATTTTGAAATGAACCTCTTTTTATACCAAAAACTGTATCGGACGGGTCAAAATTGAGGAAAACTTGAAAGAAAATATTTTGCTTGAAATATTGATGAATGAAAAGCGAAAGCCAAGGAAGCGAAAAAGAAAAGGAAACGTATTAAGAAGGGTCTATAAAACGGGTGTATGCCTCCTAGAATTTGGTACCCTGGGGTTGGGGGGGGGCTGTCTCTTTTTTGTGATGCCTGGGGGCCCCGCGGGTCGTATTACCTGGATTTGCGTATCAGACTTCAAAGACCATTCCGGTGGCTACTTTTTGCGGGGCTTATAGTGAGGAGATGGGTGGGGAGGGTAGGTCTTAAGCTAAGTAAACAAATACACATTTCGTCAACATTTTGCTGATTGTTCCTTGTTGTTCTTTAATTTCGCTAAAAATTAACTAGAAGGTGAAAACGAGACCGTAATTGAAACTGAATACTGAATGGATATTGAGAAAAAATCCGCAAAAATAGACGAGCGAAATAGAGACCAGCGCGCAATAGAGACCCAGAGATTCATCGAAAGACCCACAGACCCAGGGACCATTCAAAACATAGTCCCAGAGACCAAAGACCCAAACAGACTGGGGACCAGACCGAAAGTCAACCTACTTTTTGGGGACGCAACAGACGGCGAAAACGTCGGCAACAGCGCCGGCAACAGCAGAGTAGACCAGGCCAAAGCGCATACATATACCCGTATATACCGTATACCCATATACCGTACACATGTATATTTGGTGATGGGGTGGGGGCCACAGATGGGGCCATGGAGTAGAAGGCAATTGGGCGCCCTACGGCGGATTATTGAATTTTCCAACGTTCTCCGCTGACACTTGGCGCCTAATGCGCTCCGCTCCACATACCCTTTCCCGTTCAGCGCTTACCTGCTATGACAGTTGCTCTTCTTTGGCTTGTTGTTCCTCCTCCTATTCTGTTCCGTTGCTGCTATTCGCGTTATATTGCTCCCTGCTTCTTCCTGTTCTCTGTTCTCTGTTGCTGCTGCTGGCAATGATGTTCATGTGGCTGTTCTGTTGATGTTGCCGTATTCGTTGACAAAAATTCCAATCGAATTTTACATAATTTACATATTTTTGAATTGCTTAGGCCAAGGGCCAAGAGGTGGCCAAGAGCGGGCCAAATGCATTAGACACGATTCCAATTCCCCCCCACACACACAAATACATACATATGCATGCGACAGAAGAGCAGCAGAATTCCACCGATTCCACGAGGATGCTGGCCTCTGCCTGGCAGACGAGAGATGTGTACCCGATTTTCTCGTTTTTCTTTTTTGTCGTGTATGTGTGGTGTATGTGCGACTCTTAGCGAGACCCAATTTTTGTGCCGTTAACCGAAAAATCAAACGCAACACGCGTGTCTCTCCTGCTCTGGTCTCTCCTCCCGCACGGCACGGTGTGTGTACCGCTTTATCCGGAGATTTGGCAAAACCACGCACTTGCAGCACGCGACACACGATATACCGGGAGCTGGGGTGGACACAGGATAACAGGAAAGGGAACAGCGAAGGGTACCACGATAGGGACAACGACGACGAACAGCGGCACCGACACCGACACCAACACCAACACTGCGACAAGCGACAGGCGACGGGCGACAGGCGACAAAGATGAATGTCAATAAAAGTGATTTTGCTTTTGGCAGCCGAGCGGACACTTCCACTGCAGTGATGCTGGGATGTTGGTGGGGGCTTTTTCTATTTTTTCCTCGTTATCTCCCTGTTTTTGTGATGTCCTGTTACAGTGATTTAATTATAAATCGCAGACCATGAGCCACACACACAGTTCAGATCTCCAGCTATCCGACGGAACACCGGAACAGACACTTTTTCACTCGCCACGCAACAAACCAGTACTGAAGATACAGATACAGTGGCAGTATCCATCTGAATGCCTGTAGAAATGACTGTGGCGCCGCGCCGCGAGGTTGGAAATCAACATTCATCTCCCATCTCCAGCATGGCTGCTGTTCAGTCTCTCTCTCTCTCCGTGCGCGATTTTCGATGCGCAGTTAACGATACTCGTGGATGCCAGTGCTGCCAAATGCGACGTAGCTCTTCTCTTCCTCTCCCTCCCTCCCTGTGGCACTCTTACTCGCTCTGGCTCTCTCTATGAGCTTGTACGGGTGTGTGTGTGTGTGTGTGTGCTCGTTGGAATGCTATAAAAAGGAAAACGTTAGAATGAAATGAAAATGTAGCATAATTTATGACTGCATCGTCTTTTAAATAATTGCACGCATACATACAAACAAAACGTGGACCCATATACTCGTGGATGCACGCACACATACATTTGAAATATTTACATCAACTCACCTGAAACCCCCACCACCCACCACTCATCCCCCTGTTCTCCACAAGCACCTCTAATGGCCATGTAAATATTTCATTTTTTATTTTATAAGGCCTTTGAAACATTTCCCCAAATTGGTTAAAGGTCAATGGTATGCTAACAGTTTTAAAATTTCCCAGACGATGCAAAAGATTAGAAATAAGAGCTTCTGTGCGGCCGCATTTTTAGATACCCTTGCAGATCGGTCCTAACTATAGGGTATTGTTGAGAGATTTTTGATTGAAATAGTGGAAAATATGAAGATTTACATTAAGTAAAACTAACGAAGATTTTTCGACAAGAATTTGGGACTGATATTTTAGTACTATAATTTAGTGAATTAAAGCAATTTGAATGAGACCAAACCAAACCTAAAATTCCGGCCTTACGACATATTTTCAAAAACCTCTACAGTCGATGGCCCTGGAAGCTAGCCCTATTAAGACCTCATGTTAGACTAGCATTATAAGCAATTTCTTACATCAAATAAAGAAATAAAATAATAATAATTGATGTCTAAACATTAAACTATATTTTTCAAAAAATATAGATGCTTCCTTATATGGAAGTAGTATTTATTCTTATCGTAGTTTTTCCCACATTTCTTGCCAGAGAAGCTGTTATGATGTATTTGAGACCGAGAAATTTATATGAATCAACAGAAAAACAGACTTTAGATTACATTTAAAGACCGCCTAAAAATATATACACACTCCATACAGAAGCTCCAGTCAGTAGAAGCAGCATTATAACCACCCCTTTCAAGGAAATCTTTATGGAAATACTATTTATTATGATCTTGAAATTATTATCTAAACAAGACTCAATCTAAATGAATTACTCGTACATAATCATAGCTATCAAATATCTGTCTTGACGTAACCCAATTTGAATGGATTCATGGGAATTTAAAGAATGGTGTCGCGATTGTCGTAAATTTTATATTTATAATCATAAATCTGGCAGACTGGTAGATGTGAGCTCTTGTCATGAGGGTGAGAGGCCAGATCTCTTTAGAGAGGATGCTCCCGTATGCTATAATTCTACATTGTTCAGATTGGAGCCAGACGATGTGGGCAGATCGACATCGTTGGGAGGGACAAAGGTGCCCATGGTGAGGACGCTCTCCTGCTTGGCGGACAGCTTGAGCATCTCCATCTTGAGCTTCTCGAGAATGGCGTAGTTTGGCTGATTCACTGCCGCCTTGCTCTGCAGCACGGTGATCTCCTGCTCTTCTAGCTTTTTCTCCTTGAACGTCTTGATCGAATTGTTGCCATACAAACGCAATAGCGAGCCCCACGTTTGGATGTGCGGGTGCAGTATCTGTCAAGAATCAAATTTAAGATGGGTTCATTTGAATCCAGCCAGCCGCTAATACCAACCTGGAGGATGGCCTGCGAGGCCAGCTGTTTGCCTTCGCGTTTGTTCTTGCACACCACCTTGGCGGTGTGCTTGCCGACGGTCATGGTAAACTCGTTCTTGTTGTTGGCCGTCCGATTAATCTCCTGGCTAATTTGCACATCGCTGCCGTAATTACGCTGCAGACACGTGAGGAGAATGGCATTGGGAGAAGGCTCTGTCGTCTTGTTGCAGAATTCGGTGACTCGGGGATCCTCAATCCGGATATCATCGAATACCTAAAAGAGTTTGAATAGTAATTGTCCTTCTTCGTGTTATTGATTTTGTGGCACTCACTGATAGATCGCTTTGTCCCTTTTTGGCTGTGGCGCCCTTCGTGTCCTTGTTGCCCGTTATTTTGTCCTTGACATCGGGTATGAGAATCTCCAGGGTCTCTCGTGCCGCCTCCGACTTGGCCTGCTTTTTGCTGGTGCCATAGCCCGTACCATACTTCAGATTGTTCACCGAAACGATCGCCGAATAGGGCGTCGCCGCATTCTGCAACTCCTTGAATTCGTAGGTGGGCTGCGTCTTCAAGGCGTGCTGCACATACTCGTGGAGGATGCAGACAAAGCTTTTGCCGTTCGGGTTCATGATCCATTCCTTGCGCGCACGAGGATTGGTGTTGCCCTCGCCGCTAGCCGCCAGAATGGGGAACTTGATAAGCTTCGTGCCATCGGGCAGAGTGGGTCTCTGGATGTTCTTGATGTGCTTTCGGTTCTTGGTGAACCTGCGGCGCGCATTCCAGCTGCGGAAGCGCAGCACACGGATCACCTTGAACTTGAACAGCTTCTGGCAGTAGGCATTCAGTTGGTCCGGAGTCACCGACTCCGTCTGTGTGTTCTCCTTGACGGTGACGATTTTTGCTGCTGGTATCACAGCGGCAAGTGTCTCGGGCTCTGCCTCGTTCTTAACATTGGGCTTAGTCGTCGTCGTAGGCTCTGTGGTAGCTTCGCTTGTCTCCTTACCCTCCACAGCCATAGGTTCCTCATCAGCGGCCTTGGCAACAGCAGCAATGGGACAAACGCCTGCCGGCGGGGTGGACTCTTTGATTTGCTGTTCAGCCTCGGCCTCTTCATCCAGAGCACGACGATAGTTTAGGCAGGGTATAGCCCCCAATGGTACGGCATGCTTGCGGGCACTTCCGGTGCCCAGGAAGTACGGCCGAGAGGCGCAACAGACGCGCGTCTTACGGTGCAGGAAGAGCGGAATACCGCTGTTATGCGTCACTTGCACCCAACCCTCGGGCAGCACCTCGAAGTGATTGTGACGCTTCTCTGTAATGTAATGAAGGATCACTTTCGGCCTATGCTGGACGGATGCTCACTTACCTTCCATTACGGTCTTGAAGCGCTGCTCGTATTTGGGTCGCTTGGATTCGCGCAGTTCATCAGGCAGCTTCTCATCCAGGAGATTCTCAATTTCGTCGTCATCAAAGTCCGAGGAATCGTATTCATCGCCCTCACCATCGCCAGCATCTTCGTCATCGCCACCGTTTTCGCCTGTCAGCTTTTCGCTATTTTCGTCTTCTAGCAGTGAGAGGGAGACAAAGATTATTTATATAAGCTGCATTTCTGGGGGATGTGAAGTAGGGCCACCACAAAAGATTGACTCATCCTCTGGGAATCTATCGGGGACTTTCTATTCCTGGCAGTACCTGTCTTCGAGGGCCACTCCAGCCGGACAATGGGTATCATGCGCATGATGAGATCAGCCCAAGAACTGTTACAGAAATCGCCAAGGCGATTGCACCTGCCAGGTACACCTCCGAAAGAAATCTGAATCTGTTTTTTTTTTGTCTTACAGTTTGCCTTTTTTATCAGCCTCCTGTATTTGCTCAATGATAAGCGGCTCTGCTCCGGGGAAGATCGAGAGCGAGATAAGACCTGCGGCAGACATCACCTCGCATACGCCTCACTCACCTGACTCATCCTCATCGCTGGCCGTGCCTATCTCGTCGAGCACCTGGAACTGGCGCAGCTGCTGGTCCATGGACTCGCTCTGCAGCTCGGCGTCGCGCGTCTGTCGCATCTCCTCAATGGCGCTCAGCGAGAAGCCGGCAACCTTTAGCGCCTGCTCCTCATCCTCCAGTCGGGCGCGCTTCCTGTTTGCCGGAGCCGGCAACTCCTGTGCCATGGTCTCTGCATCCTCGGACATGCTTAAGCGCTAATCTATCTTTACAATTGTAACTCTTATAGCTGCCTGTGGGCTCTTCTTGCCAATAACCAATACTGAGAACGTCCAACGACTTGTAATTGATTTTTCATTGGAAGTGCCACATTGGTTAAGCCAGAGACCCCCAACTTGTACACTTTTCACGTTTCTTTATTGGAGCATGGAAAGAACCGGATAAACCGAAGCTATCCCAACCAAGTTCTTGTGGGTTTTCTGTTGTTTTTTTTTTGCGGAGTTAGTGGTTTGGGGCGCCCGTGGGAAGCGGCTTTTGCGATGCGATGCGATGGATTCTGTGTATGTTGCACCACAGATCACCACAAACCACCAAAGCAATACTTTCCGCACGTGCCTCCAAATGCCTATTCAACTTTTTATTAACTTTTTGCTTAATAAAGATTGCTTTTATTGATTAAAGAAACAATTCACCGCGAACTTATAAGTTTTTTATGTTTACATTTACATGGCAATTATACGGCAACTACACATTTGCTACATAATGGGAGGATAAGAGGTTATGGACAGTGGGCAAAACGTAAAATCCACCTTTTTGCTTAACATACCTTGAAGTCAAAAATCCGATTTTGTCTCAGGGTATAATGTCGTCACACGCGAGGTGAGGTTCGTACGAGCCTTGCAATTTGACTTGGTTGTTTTTGCCTGTTGTCCATACACTTTTTTATTGCCCATTCAAAATTAGCAGACCGTCTGACCATCAGAAATACCGCATATATACCGATGAAAAAACGAACTTAGCCCACTAGACCCCCCTCAATTTAAACAAGTAAAATTTGAGATAAACGGCGGAAAATAATACTGTGTGTAAATTGTTCTTTTAGATCAATATACATAGATTCGCAACGTCCCAAATTTTAATATATATCTTAAATATACTGACGAATTATTTGTATTCAAATCCATCATATTGCCCGTTTTTTGTATTCGGTTGAATATTATTACTATAAATTACTGAACACGTAATTTGATCCGATTAATAAATCAATTTTCTACAAGCCAATCTTATATCGTGCTTAAAATAAGGTTTCAACAAAGAACACAGCATATGGAATGTAATGGAACGTAAGTAAGCATGAAATGTTACGTCATTTGAACACTTGTTGCTTGTACATCTCTATACCCTATTTTCTTAAATAAATATTCGAATTCCGTTTTCCAAGCTGATTTGAAACATTACTAAAGACTTTATCTCATGCAATTGATAAGTTTTTTGTGTGTATACCTCCATCCCGATACCATGGGATGAGAAACAATTTCTCAATTCTATAATATATGTACTTTACTGTATGATGCCGAATGTTGGTGGTTTGACAATGTCGCTCAATTTTTGATAAAAGTTGATCTAAGGATTTTATATACAGAACACTGCAATTGTATATTCTGCAAAAATTACTCTTGGCGACTCACAAGTGATAGCGCGGGCAGCAAAATTATACCTGCCTCGAACAGCTTCTCCTTACGAAAAGTTACTTCGGAGCATGCAGTGTTCTTGGATGCCAAGCAGAAGCTTGGCTTCCAAATCTGCTTCAAACTCTTACAAAGGGGAGCAGAAAGCGGAGAAGAAGCTACTCAAGGAGAAGAGAGTGGAGTGGATCGGAGCGCTATGATCGCCAGGCAGGAGCTGGTCCACATTATGGCGGAAAAAACTCGGATTAAACATTTAGAAAAATCCCAGAACCAAGGAAGCCAAAAGGTAGTATGATCCCATTACTGCCACATAAAATCTATGACTCGGTGGCCGGCCACCATAGAGGATCATGCTCACCTTCCAGTTCCGATTAAATATGCCAGAATATATAAAAATGAATAATTTATACACATACGTATGTACACATATAAAGTACTTTTCGCGTTTATTTAAATCCATCTCTTTGCATAGATATTTTTCTATATTGGGGCATCACATCTAAAAGAGATGGTTGCCAGTCAATATGAAAACCTTGAGCAATTGATGGATCTTTGAGATTAAAGTCGTCGCCTTCTCTATAAATTGAATTAGAATCGTGTTGGGAGACCACTTCAGAGAAAGTTAGAAGAAACTAATCATCTGATTAAACTCATTTTGGGTCTGCGGCCGTTCATTCGAATAGAGCGGCCCGAAATGATCAATATGTTTTAGAGACAAGGAACCAGTAAAATATTTTTGCATACGCTCAATGTCTTTTTTTACTCGGTTTTTCAGGAACCAATCTATCCGTATATAGAAAGAAACTCATCGTTGCTACCGATTCAATAATCGATTCAACGAGAGCGTAAAAGAGAGCCATTACCGATTCGAAGAAACAGTTCGACATCGATTCTATCGACTGCCAAAGTCGCGAGAATTAAAAAAACCAGCCAATTAATGTTCCCCTATTATATCCCCTATGTTACAAATGAAATTTAATGGATTGTTGAAATGGTAGCATTTTAAAGGCGAGATATCGCTACTTCTTATCGATACAGTTTAAAACTTTTCAAAATTATATTACATCTAAACTTGCGTGAGCGTGGGCGTGGTCTCCGCAGCCCCCACCGTACACGGAGTATTGGCAAGCAGGTCAGCGGTGCGACAGCCAATTATCTGGAACTCGACCTCATTCTCCCGCAATGTGCCACCGACAAAAAGTTTCGGCTCGCTGCTCAGGGCCCAGAGCTCCTCCTCGCCTTTGGAGTTTCGGTTGATCTTGAGGCCAGTGACGAACTTAATCTTTTGCGGGTTATAGGCCACGACCCGCAGGTCATCCGCCGTGTAATTTGAGTGCTCCTCCCAGCTAATGAGAGCTCCCAAGCTAATGAGACTGCAGTACAGATTGCCAGAGATGTCCATAACTTCCGATTCGCACTGAATGCCTCTTGTGCCGAGTACTCGGAACTGATCCTTGACTTCGCTGGAGTTAGCGGACTGCCAAACAGTTTCATTATTGACCAGAGAAAGTGGAATGGCGACCTCATTTAAGCCATTCAGAGTGTGGAAGTACAAAAATCGATCTGCAGTATACCGACCCAAGATTATAAAAGGAGTTCTTCTAACATCAAAAGATGAAGCTTACCTTCGGCTTCGCTAGGGCTCAAGCTTACTGTGAATATGCCCGCGTGCGAGTTGCTGGAGCGGGTAAGGCGCTCCACAGGCTTCATCGAATCGTGCTCTATGCGCCACGACTTGCCGCTGAGAGAGTCGTAGACGATCAGGCCATAGCCCCAGGCATCGGATACGTACGCCTTGCCACCCAGGCACTTATTTGGTGCCCCGCTCTCCACCAGATCCACCACAAGAGCCGTGAAGATCGACACGCTGGGCGTGTACGCGTGTGGGGGTAATGTGTGCCGCTGCACCAGCTCATCCTTGACCAAATCGAAGGTGAGAATCTGAGGGGGACACAGCTGCAGCGAGTTCACCTGCCCCGAGTCGACCACCCAAAGGCGCCAGCATTCATCGATCTGCCGAAAAGATGGATGTCTTGAACTCTTGAATGGTTATCTTTTCAGACTCACTCACGAAGGTTCTTATGGCAGAGGTGAGGCCGGAACAGTTATTCGGTAGAATATGCCACTCTGCACTGGGGTAGGCCTCCAGGCGAGGATTCTCCAATAGCTCGTTGTCACTGGCGACCACAGTGGCTAATGTGAAGGGCGTTTCCAGGCTCAGGCGTGGAATAGTAAGGAAGGTGCGGTGCCTCCCCTCATCTCCGTACTCGATGTCCACATCCACGGGGAGGAACTGGTGGCTCGAACTAATATTCGTCCACTGGTGTAGTGTATGGAGCTCTTTCACAAACAATTTCTGGGACTGCACCGCACAGAAAACTCCCAGCAGGATCAAAATACTTTGGATGCTCGACATTTAAACGTAGAGAAGCAGATAGAGCTCGTCCAAACCGCTCAGCCGATGCGTGAAGACTGACGCGCAGGTAGAAAAGGCTCTGAAAAGGTGTTAGCCTGTTCGCCGCTAACAGACCCTAATTGACCAAATAGGCGACGTCGAGAGCATAAACAAAGGTCATCGGCGTCGCTCATTCAGGTACACAAGGGTCAAGCAAACACCCTCGAAGGGAACGGGAATATTTTTGAGATTTATAGACATCTTTTATGGAGGCTTACAGATTGTTTACATAGCCTAAGAGCCCGCACAGCCCCGTCCCTGCAGCATGTCATCCACGTCGCAGCGCTGCACCCGATAATTGATCTCTTTGTAGTCGATGGTTCCGCCAAATACCTTCTGGAGACGATTCGAGAGAAGCCATAGCTCCTCCTGGCCATCGCTGGGCCGTGTTACGATCTTCATGCCACTAACAAATTGCAAGGTGTCGGGGTTGAGAGCGAGCAGCTGGAGATTGGGCCTGGCATATGGTGTCTGTATATTCCAGCCGAAAATGCCGATGGGTTCCAGGAAGCCGCAGAACCAGAAGCCCCTCCTGCTAACAGCATGGGCACCGCACTGCACACCTCTTCTTCCAAGGGTTACGAATTCCTGCAGCGATGAGCTGATGCCCTGCTGCCATCGTGTGGAATTCTGGAGCACGTCCAAGGGTATGGCAAGCTCCAGTTCGTTTGACAGGGCATGAAAGATGAGGTGACGACGCAGGCCCAGCCCGTTGGGAGTTATGGCCAAGGCGAAGGCTCCGTCCAACAGCTCGAAGCTCTCCCCGGCCACAGTGAGGGTGCCAAACCTTGCGTCGGGGTACGTGAACTTGTTCTCCACGCGCCAGGATCTGTTGCCCTTTACATCGTATACGACAATAGCCTTGCTCGTGGGATCGGCCATATACACATAGGCGTCCTTGCACACTCCCTGCGGCGGAGGGTCCTGAATGTCCGCCAAGATGGTTACGAATCTGCTGACCTTTGCCTTAAAGGTGTCCTCGGGAAGACGGTAGCGGTGTATCAGCTGGTTGGTGGCCAGATCGATGACCACAACTTGGGGTGCACAGTGCTGGACGAATTCGATTTCGCCGCTATCGAGTATCCACATCTGCCCGCAGGCATCGATGTGCACTCGATACACGGAAGTCAGTCCATCGCAGTCTCCGCCATGGGTCTTGTGCCAGTCGTAGCTGGGATACGCCTGGATCTCGCTGCCGTTCTCCCGCTGCACCTGAGTGACATAGGCCAGGGAGTATGGCACCCCCTGGCCGAAACGGGGGGTCGTGATGAAGTGACGCACTGCCCCACCCTGAGCTGGAAGATTTATCCAAGATTGATACTTTAAGCAATTATATTTTTAAATTCTTGAAAAGCTTACGCGGGTAGTACACATCTATGTCGATGGGTATGGGACTGTCGGGATTGTAGCGACCACTTCGCAGAACCTCCTCACGCTCCCGTTCACTGGGGAAACCATACTGGATGTTCTTCCACTCGTACACCCTATACAGCTTCTTGTACTGTTGGTCATGCTCGAATGTTGGCTGGCTTGGTTTTGGCCTATGAGTGTAGTACTGTGCCGTGGTCAGACTTAGTAGGGCCAATAGAGCAAACGGTAAAATATTCCTAAAATAGTCAGAAAAACGGAGAGATCGGAAAATAGTATATGTACGATTGAGGAAAGAGGCAAGAAATAGTGCTAACTTGACACACGCTTCACTGCCACAAAATTTGGAGAATCAAAATCATATCACACCAACGAAACCATTTTAATTGTTGATACATTTTCCTTCAAGAATATCCCTCCAAAAATGGACAGTTTGTTTTCTTGACTTCAACTTATCTAAAATTAACTTGTATGAACTTTACATTTTATATTTCTCTTCGCAGTCCGACCAGTGAGAGATCCTTACTCGAAGGCTACTCGCATTGAACTAATTCACCAGTTATTGAAAGAGTCGTAAAATTGCGAAATAACAAAAACAAAAGACAGTTCGTATAGCATACTCGTTTCCAACCTGTTTTTTTAAATTTATATTTTAGCTCTTTGTTTTTTTTGCTCTTCTTTCTAGAGTCTCATCTTTATACCCTAGTCGAAGGTACTTCAATTATGGCCAAAAGTTTGTCACAGACAAAGCAAAGAATTTCCGAAAAAACTTGATCCATTTATTTTTGAGCTATCTAAATTATTCTCTGTTTAATAATAAAAAATAGAATATTCAAATTTTGAATAAAATTACCTACCTGGATGATGCACATCTGAATATTTAAATCCATTTTATAAAAACATTAATCCGAAACTGTATTTGAAGCCTAGGCCCATGCCGCCCAGTAATATGGCTTAAACAACATCTGAAATTACAGTGTTTCAGATAGCAAAGTCTTGACATATTGCCATGGACAGGCCTGATTTAAGTCGAAGTTGTTATCAGCTTATTAGCTAACCAAACTCATAAATATCCAATCAATCATGAATAAACCATTGAGCGTTTATGGTTCATGGGGCTTTGATGGTTTTGCCTGCCGGTGCCGAGGTTTCTATCATGCAAAATACTTTTACGGAGGCGCACGACACTCCGAAATAACCGCAAAACAAGAAATATGTAGGAATTAATCGTACAAAGTTACAAAAACTTGTTCTGCTGTCGTTTCACGCCCCATTAATGTCGAAGTCGAGTGCAGCAGACATGAAATGGTTTCAATTAAATCTAACTTTGTTTAATAAAACTAGAAAAAAAAATCAATTTATCTGTTATGAGGAGACAAGAGTTTTTTTTTTGCGAGCATCAGATTTGATGTTCAAAATTGGTTGAGCCAATTAGCATTCTCGTATGTGCAAAAATATTACAAATCATTTAAAGCATTTTCGAGTAGGAGATATGCCGATATTTTGTAGAAGGTGTCCAGCGATAGGGCCGGCAAGTATCGCTTGTACTGAGAAGGGATAAGATAAGGTTCGATATGCCGAGCAGACTAGTAAATAGGAAATGAGATAACAATTTAATATAGTAGTATTCAATTCTAAATCTTGAACAAAGTAATTCAATTTTTATTGCATTTTCAGAAAGATTTTAAGCACACACATTTGGGACTACAATTTATAAATATATTATCAGCTTAAGAGACTTTTTGAAGTGCTGCGGGGTACGGTGCCACAAGCCTATAGACAAATGCTTTGCTGAGGCATACCGACGCTCTAGTCATCTCTCTGCTCAGGCTCAGCTGGTAGATTTCTGTGCTAATTGGTTTATATTTGTGATGTGTTTTCTGGTCAAATTGCTGGAAGAGTCTACGCTGGGGAGATTTTGCATAGTATCGACTTATAGTATGTCTATAGAAGACACCAGACCCACACCATTCTACTATTGCGAAAGTAAAAATTCAAATTGGCAATCAATGAAGAATATCGTTCTTAGTTACGAATCGCTTTCACAAACACTTTGAGCTTCATTAACATATAAGCAAGACATAGCTGACTGCGCAGTATAACTAGCTAGTCGTTCAATAATGGAATCAATTCAGAGGGTAAGCTCACTGCTGCCTGGTCACACTCTGTCGCTTGCAGAATAGTTCCCGCCAGAAGACTTGATGGGTGGGTGGGTTCGTTCTTCGTCGTTGTTCGTATTAATTGGAAATTACAAAAATGAATATACAATTACCAAAATATTGTAGTAACTCTCGTTTGAGCGCATCTTTAGACCATCAAGATTTCATTCTCAAGGTGGAACCGAAGTCACAGTTCTCTGGCAAGCATCGTGCATAGCGCCTGGGAATGTGACCTGCATCCATTCTCCTGTCAATGCCTTGTAGTCCTGGTAAGCCTTCAGAACTGCCTCCTACTCAACGTCTGCTGCAATGTTGAAGAACTGAAAGTCAAGAACGTTGAGTTGTGTTAGAATGAGCTGATGTCTGCCAAGTACCAATCTTACTCAATTGTTTTTAGAATGGTCCTTGAATTTTGTGAAATGTGTCACTATTTTGTCGAAATGGTTTGTTTCGAACTTTTAAATCTCTTAGCAAAATCCAGCTACTTGACTGGACAATAATCGCTTACGCTCGTATAACATGGCCAGAGCCTCCAAATATTAATTACAATTACTGCCCGGCGCCAGATATTCAATTTAATTGCTCCAACGCCTGCCAACAGCCGGTTTGAATTGATAATAGTAGTCACACAACGATTGTTATCGAAAAACGTTGAATGGAGACTGGCCAGCTAATTTGTTTTCACGTAGCATATATTCTGTTCGACTTTAATATGTATTTTCGTATTGACTATTAAAAGGAGAATATTTTTTTTTTTTGGCTGTGCGTGCGTCTGCCTTTTTGCTGGAACTCTTCTTTTTGCCGCACCCAAAAAAGATGGTCTTATTTTCAGATCAAATTCATTGGCAGATATTCTCCAAATTGAACTCTTCCAAATATAAAATCTATCCAAGAGGTATAAGTAAACCACTCCGAATGCCGGAAACCAGAGTATTAACTACTAAATGATTAGCTATCTCTACTACCCTGTTCGTGATATGATGTGCAGCGCATCTGCTAGTAGACTTGTTCAACATCAAAGATAGCTATCGAAGTTAATGAGCAATGAGTGGAGCTCTGGCTCTGACATTCCCATTCAACATATGCAAATGCGAAAATAATCCACGTTTAAGTGTCGCCGCTTAAAGTAATAAATAGTAGTTGACTTAATTGGCCACATTTGTCACACATAAAGCGCAGATGGTAAAGAAAAAAACTAAGAGAAATTTTTCTAGAGGACATAGCGTGAAAAAGTGTTCTGATTCAGAAAAAAACATAAGTATATAATTCAAATAAATATGAAGTGGAAGTGATAGTCACACGTTTGCCCCACCCTTTTTTAAAATGCAGCTTCTCAGGCAATTTTCATTAAATTAATTTAATCAATACATTTAAAAAAGGTTTATTTACATCAGCAGAGCGTGGCATTGCACATACACATCGTGAACACAAATCGAGCATATCCCTCAAGCGGATTGCGGACTACGGTTAGTGCTCCTCCTCATCCGATTCCGCCTGCAGCTCCCGCTTCCCGCGCTGATAGTAATATCCGCTGTGGCGGGTCGTGTAGGGCGTTGGGGCCGAGACCAATCTCGTAGGTGCCGCCGGCGCAGTGGTGCCCACCAGGGTGTCCAGGTAGGAGCGCTGGTAGTTGTCCCGGGTGGCCTTGCTGGGCGGAAAGGCCTCGCCTTGGTTGAGCGCCGTGAAGGGGTTCCGCACGCCGTATTGGACGACGCCGGCACTCTCGAATCTGAAGGGCGTCTTGGTTGTGAAGGGCGTGGTCAGCGCTGGGCTGCTAAAGTACGTCTGCAGGGCGTTCGTGGAGGCTTGCGAGTGGGTGTTGTAGAGGCCGTAATTGAGCAGGCTGTTGTGCGCGGGGGCCGGGGGCAGGGCCAGGTGGTGGCCCAACAGGGAGCCGGAGGGCAGCTCCAGGCGCACTATGCGGTTGTTGAACTCGTTGGGGTCAAGGTTCTTCAGGAAGAAGCGGTGGAACTTCGAGGAGATGGCGTAGATGACGCCCGGCTCCGAGCGAGTGGTGGTTATATCCGCCACGAACTGCAGCTGGTCGCGGTCGTAGGCCAGAACCGACTGCTGGTTGGTCGAGGGGTTCCACGAGGCGATGGCCGTCTCGCTAAGCGGGCTGAAGATAAGGCTGCTGTCGAAGGGCGAGACGGACAGGCCGATGCCCTGGGAGGACTTCTTGCCCACCAGTTTCACGTCCAGCATCTTTCCGTCGGGCAGTGGTCCGGCACGCAGCACATTCTTGTGCACCGAAAAAACACTAGAAGCGAACGGGAAGGGATAAGGAGAACCCTAGGCTTAGAGCAAAGATTGAGATCTGGCTGGGATGAGGCACTCACCGATCGGTGGCCAGAGGCTGGAAATAGACCACTCCCTTGCGCTCGTCAAAGGTCAAGCCCACAACTCCATCCATCAAGACGAAGCGATCGTTGAGGATCTCGGACTGGGCAAAGTCGGGATCGGGATACATGGCCGGATGGGAGACTCGCCAAGTGACGTCCTTGCCGCTGTCGTAGACTACAATGCCGGGCTCCACCGTGTCCGTGATATACACATACACATCGTCGCAGGTCTTGGCCGTCGTCTCGTCGATCACCATGTTGGTGAAGAGCGATTCGCCGCGCAGCACCTCGGGAGGAAAATCGATGCGACGCACCACCCGGTCCGTCGCCAGATCCACCACCAGTATCTTGGGTGGACAGGTGATCTCGTAGTCCTCCAGCGAGCGGGACACCCCCGCATCCAGTAGCCATAGGCGGTTGCAGGAGTCAAGGCGCAGGCGGTAGACCGAGGTCAGGATGAGGTCGCTGCAGTTGAAGTCGCTGCGGCCCGTGTTGGAGAAGGACCAGTCGGGGAAGGCCTGCAGGGTGGGTGAGTCACCGAACTCCGCCTTGGACACCCAGCTCACGGTAGAGGGCACGCCGGTAAACAGCTTGGGAGTGGCCACGAAGATGCGGTTATCCGTGACGGCCACTCCCGTGATGAGAACGTTCTGGGGGCTGTAGAAGTTGGCATCGTTGACCGGCGCCTGTGGCTGGAAGTTGTAGCGTAGGAGCTTCCACTGCTTGGCCACCTGCAGGCCAGGAGTAAGGGCCCGACTGGCCGGCCAGAGGAGCGCACAAAGTACTACGGCAAGGATCCTGAGCATGGCAAGATTGGTGTCTGCAAAGATCAAATCGAAGCCAATCGGAAATTATTTGATGGATGAACCTTTCAGTCTCAGGTTAAAAAGCTTTCTGCTGCTACTGGGTACGGGCTCGAGCTTATCTACTCGTACCAGCGGACTTATATTTTCTATTTCCGGACTTTTCAATCACCGTTGAAGGAAAACGGAATTGGAAAAGTTCCCAGAATGAAAATTGCGATCATTGAAAGTGGCAAAAACTTGAATAATCTTTTGAAACCACACGCCATATCTACCTGAATAATCAATCAGATAAGTAGCCCTGGATCGTGCTGTTGAATGATTAACAATTGCAGATGAGGAATGTATTTTAGAACATTTGTACTTTAAAATCTGCATACAATGCCATAACCCATTGCATAGAATTCCCAGACAATTCTATAAACCTAAGCGAAACCGGTAACTGTCGTCTGGCTACCCTTTCTAAACGTTTCTATATCCATAGCCTATAGTACGAGTATGCAGATGCTGAGACCAATACAGATTGCATGTAAATGTGCCAATTCCGGTGTCGAAGTCGAAGCCGAAGCCGGTGTGCAGACAGCACCAGATTGGCCCTGGTTATTGTATTCAAATGATGCTGTGGCTGGGTGGATGTGTGGCTGCTCGGTGAGCAGCAATCGACGTATGCACCAGATACTATATGTTGTCTCCATCTGCAACTGACGTGTCTGTGACTGTGTGTGTGTGTGTGTGTGTGTGCTTCGATTTCACACGCCAGTCACGCTCTCCATACCATTGCGAGAGTCGATTCCCATGCGTTTTTAATTGCTGCGCGAGCCGGGCAACTGGCACTGGGAATGGCTACGCGGAGGCCGGGCATTTGAATATTTTGGCCAATTTGTCTTTGACAGGCTTACACATTATTTAGTGTCGGGCCAACTCCCAGACTCGTTTGCGGCCGCAGAAAGTGGACTGAAACTTTCTTCGGCGCGTGCCGCATGCTGCATGCCGCATGCCGCATGCCGCGAGTTGCTCCGACTGGGCCTCGACAAGCAGTTAAAGATAATTGAATTTTCGTAGTTGATGAGTTATATAAAAGAGTAAAAAGTCAAGGCTGAAGCCGGCGGCACACGCATGTAAAAGATTTATTTCTACGAGCTGGCTGGCACTCCTTACGCAACTCTTGTGCAACGCCAAGCGGAAACCGAGACAATTTCCCAAATCCCGAGTAAAAGAAGAAAACCTTGCACTGCTCGGGAAATATGACAATATCACTTATGACAAGATTAGACCTGACAATGACAGGGGCACCGCCCGATTGTCATGACGACAGACGCAAGCGGAACAAACCGTTTACGAGTCGGGCCACACTGCCACTTTACAGTGCTCGATCTTTACATTAGTTACTATATTTTTTACGAGCAGTGCTCGCACTTCGCTAGATAGCCATCCATGTTGATGACTTGTGGCAGGCCAATGAATTTCGCTCAATTTACCTATTAAATCCCCTAACAAAACGAGCCGAAAGTGAGTGAAGCTAATGGCTTGGATGCACGAAAGAAATCGCTGAGGAAAATTAAAAGATATTCCTATGAATAACCTATGAATACCACACTTTGTTCGGCGCATTTCAACAGGTATTCCGAGCATTAATCACGCTGTCGGTTAACAAAAGAAATTCATACATTTTTGTACGTTTTGATTTCTGCTTCATCTCGGCCGACCATTTACTAATAGATCCCTCGGAGACAATACAAGTGGCAGATCTGATGCAACCAGAAGTCGCTCGCTGCGGCTAATTAAGTGGGTTTTTCGGCAGAACCGAGACCTGAAATGAGTTCAGCCACTCAGCCCGGCCAGCACGAGTGGCAGTACTCGCATGGTGTTGCCTTATCCGCATCTGTTTTGCACCTTGTCGCCGAACGCCGAACGCCGAAATCCGAACGCATTCTCACGCGTTTCACAATGGACCTGGGACTGAGACTGAGGCCGTGCCGGCGAGGCACACTGGCCAAAAAGGTTAAAAAGGCTTAAATGCCCGTCTCAATTGAGTTGTGTACATATCACTTTTGATCGCATTTGAATTTGGTGATTTTTTTTGGTGCTCTCATTAGGCAATCCCCTGGTAGGGCCGAGCGGAAGAGCGGAAGCTGCGAAGGTGAATTAGCACCTGCTTGTAAATTGCGGATTTTTGCAAGCAGAAAAGGTCGCGCCACAGCAAATACAAACGTGCCGATGCTGACGTGATCTCAATTTCCTTATGTCCAACATTTCTAAATCAGCAAAGGTATGAGCAGGGTATATCCATATAAATCAACAGTTACACTTTTGGCTGCGATCGATTTTAATTGGCAACAGAAAAATGCGTTTTCCAAGCAAACCTAATTAACACAGTTCCGTTCCGATCCGTTCTCCGACTAAGCAAAGTCTTCTTTTGGGCACGCACACACGAGAAGCGACTTTTGGGCAATAATGTAGAATGCAAGTGCGCAATCGCGGTCTACCCTTGGCTGTGCAGTGCCTATCGATTGGCCAATTAGTTGTATGGCCTAAGGCGTTTGCAGGCTTTCGGAATTGAATTGGTGAGAGTGTGGCATTGTTGGGGCCTCCAAGCTGAATCGAACCGAATGGCGGCGGACCGAAGAGCTAACTAAATGTATAACAATTTGCACTTTAACCGTTGGAAACCGCACTTCGCGACGTGCCCCACTGCAGTGGCGCTGGCAGTGGCAGTTGCAGTTCGTTGCCTCAGTCTTTTGTTGTGTTTTGTCTGGTGGCCAGGCCGATTTGTGGCACCGCTGCGGCTGTTGATACAACATTTCCATCTGGCATTAGCTTACTTTGAGACACTTTCGGTTGGGGCCTGTGGATGTTGTTGCTTTCGATCTGATCGCCGCGACACGTCTGAGCGCTGCGGTTGCCGTTTTGCGACTGCGCCACGCCTGGCAGGCGCACCGAATTTTATAAGAGTGTCTCTAAATCATACAAGAAGTCGGTCTCCAGCTCCGGCTTGGGTCTAGCTTTAGCTGATGCTTTGAACTATAAAGCTCAGCTCGAATCTCTTATATTCATGGAGGGACACTGGTGCACCAATTGCTCATACGCTCCGTTGGACGGCGTGAAAAATGTTTGTGGCTGGCGGCACGTCTTCCGCACATTTGCATTATGATTTGTATTTTGTGATTGTTTCTGTTTCTGTTGCTGTTGCTGTTGCTGTTGTTGTTGCTAGAGCAACTAGTTTCTGGCCGGTTGGAGTTGGTGGCAGATTGTGGTAATTCAGCTGTTAGTGGGTCCAATTAACCAATTGCTGCTCTCCTTACAAGTTCATTATCGCCATCAGCGAAACAATGAAAACGAATAAAATATTTGATTATGTTTTTCTCGAATTTCGGGTATTTACGAGTAAAGCCGCGGACGGCCGTTTTGTCAATGGAGGGAGAGAGAGTCCATTGTACTGCCGAAAGCAGGCAGTGTCGAAAGCTATAAATTAAATGTATTCGAACGACAATTAAAATACCGCAACCAGTTCCAAAGGCGTTCTCACTTTAATTGAAGATTTATTTTATTATTTTATTTTTGTTAAATTACTAATTGTAAATTGGCATCCTGCATCCTATCCCCTGGATAACTAATTGCCGAATCAAAGCTAAGATTTATGTCCCGACATTGGCCTTTTACAGACAATTGTATTGTGAACGCTTACTCGTCAACAGTGTGGCACCATTTAGCGAGCCTGAAGTCCAGAATGCAGTGCTGAATCGAGTCTCTAGTTAAATATGCCTGGACATAGCCATGTCAATTGTCTAACAACATTTACCCATTCTGTGTTCTACTTTGGGGGTTTGTAGTTTGTTCAATTCGAATCAAAAAAATAAATCAATCGAAATGTGGGCTTAGTCGGTTTCCCTTTTACTTGGCTTTATGGCTTAACTGGCGCAGGACAGGTGATCCAATGTGAGTTAGCTAACTGGAACTGGGTTTCGTAACAGCACATGGATGGGGATGGGGACACGGGCCCATTTATGTTTGAACGATCTCGAGCAGAGGCAGAGGCAGAGGCAGGTGAAAGTCCAGCCAGCAACTTGTTTGCTCTCGATTGAAAATGGAAAGCCCGACTGGGATTCGGATTCGGGTCCGGGCTCTTGAAAGGTTCTCTGCACAATTTTCAGCCTCCGCGGAGCTAACCCAAATACGTGAAAAGCGCCGCTAAAAGGGGGCTATGCAAAAGAGGTGACTGCAGCCGGAGAGGCAACGGCAGCGGCAGCGGCAGCGAGACAACAACGGTACGAGTATCCAAACTGGTTTGCGGCCAGAATTAGCCAAGTTAACATTAACTGTATTGCCTCGGCATTTGTTTGCATTGTGACACATGGAATTGTTTAGTTGACCAAAATATCCGCAGTTTGCATACGAAATCGGGATGGGGATATAAATATAGATATGGGTAGCATATCCGATAATTGCCTTATTTGCCCGTGCTATTATGTTAGGGAGCCGGGACTCCGGAGTGTTCCGAAAAATGTTCAACCACTGCCAAGCCCCGCTGGACATTCACTTTTCTTGATTCTCTTTTTTTAATTGTTTGAATTGTGGTATTAATTTTGTTGTTTAGGTTTTGGGGAGAATATCCACATCCCACTTAATGCCAAGTTACGATCTAAATATATAATTTGTGTGTATTGTAGTACCAGTACCGGTTCTAAGCGCAGTTCAAGGCTGTGGCCACTGGCCAGTGCCACACGATGCGATACGGTACGATTAGCCAGTGAGTGACATAACGCGCTGCCAATAACGTAAAAGTCCATGTAATCCTATGCCCGGCATGGGCCTGTCGCATGCCTTCTGCACTTGACCGTTACGACACCCGAGACGGGCGGAAACGTAGGTGGCTGCGCCTGCCCCCGGGGCATGCCGCGCTTCATAGATATTAGCGCTGTCAAAGGCATCACAACACATTTCCTTTCACAACAACGCCCTGGACCGGCGCTCGTTAGTCGCGTGGCCGTTTCGAAAGTAGCCGATCTATAGAGAGAAACAAAATCTGGGCATGTCTGGGGTCTGCTCTATATGACTCGGCGACGATGAACACTTGAAGATTAATAGCCACATCGTCGCATGTTGGCTCGAATCTTTGTCTGCATCCGAAGTATCAGAACTCGTATCTCCTCTCATTGCTGCCATTACGAAATGAACTTTAAATATGTTTCGGCCTCACATCACCAAGCATTCCCCACATGCCTTGTCATCGACACTGTCCAATTGCTTCATTTGTGCATTCTGCTCGCACAAATGTGGGCTCAATTAAGTCATTGCGAATCCGAGTGCTCATAGCTGGTGCTGTGGCCGAAGCTGGTGCTGGTGCTGGTGCTGAAGCCTGTTGACACTTTCATTACCAGCTTTGGCAGTGGCAGTGTGGACAAGGTCTTGATGAATTCGGTAAATATTTCTGGCATTTTGGCTGGGACCTTAGGTGTTAACCATTCTAAGTGCCGTATTCGGCCGCCGAAATATCAATCAACTAATATCGATGCTGGCTCTAAGCGCTTTTAATGGGCCTCCTTAAGTGCTCGGCTTTGGTTTCTATAAATGCAGACCATTAAACCAATTAAAGCTGTGTGGCTGAAGGCTCCACCTCCGCAGAAGGTGTGCCAACAGCCGGTTTCCCACCACAAGCATCGGACACCCAGACACCCAGACAGCCAGACAGCCACAGCCTCGGCAACAATGGCCAACATTAACCGCCTTGTGGCGCATACTTTCATTTCCAGCCGATTGCGGATACCCATGCCCGTACCCTCCAGATGATCAGTATCTGTATCCTCCAATGCACGTAGTATCCAACGAAATCTAGCCACGGCTGCGGTTGGGGAGTTATTATTCGACTCAATAAATCAACCTACTTATAAGTCGAGAATATGTAGCCATTACAGTAGCCACTAGTTAGCCATACCCCATATACATATATATCGTACATAGTACTACTCTACTCTACCGATACCCCTATGGATTTCTATTCTCTTGACGAAGGTCAGCAGCGCGCAAAAAGTCCCTCGGCTGCCTCTGGCCACACTCCGCGGGCCATGAAAGCGAGCGGAGCCCACTCGGAGCCGGGCCGGGTGGAGCAGAGAGGGTGAAACGTGGTGCATTAGACATGCATGTTGGCTTTGTCTTTGAACGTCAAGCTAATAAATTGGTCGAAATTCATGGATATGGCATATCGAAACACGAATACCTTTTTAAGTGAGTCACAGAACGGATTTAGGCAAAAAATATAATTGTTAGGTTAACTAGCGACTGATTTGAGGTTTTATCGAAATATTGTTGGTAAATGAAAATAGATTTTCATTAGATATGTATATGTGTACATATGGGTCATAGACTCAAGGGATCATTATTTGTTGCTGTGGAGCGCCTCCAATTGAACTTTCATAAGCTTTACAATATGGCAAGAGATTGCGAAAAAAGATCATTCCTCTGCCACGTCTAACTTTGACTTTGTGGTACTTAAGAGTATGGAAATTAATGAATTGTCTATATTGCCAAAAGTCCAAACTCATTATCAAATGCGAGAATTAAAAGTCACAGTTTGACTGTAGGCACACGAGTATTTCAACAAATTAGCATACCGACTAAGCAAGTGATTTTTAATATAAAATATGATATTTAAGAATAGAAGGGAGAACTAAGTGGCGTCAAAAACAATGAGCAATTTATATGACTCGATTGGTAGTTATTTGTATCTGAATGTATTCGAAATACTTAGCATATTCCACATATTTGGTAGCTCATGATCACGCAACGCAAACGGTCTAAACTTTTACGACCAGCAACCAGTCGACTTGGGTAATGTTTGATTGGAAAATTCATCAATGAAAAATAGTATACACTTGTGACGACAATGTAAACGGAATCGAATCTTGATTAAACAAAATGCAGACAAGATAGTTAAATTAAGAAGTTAATTGTTTGCACTTCTCACTTGTTGATTCATGTTAAGGCTGCATTTATGGATGTCGGAAAAAGGCAGCGAGAGACTTGACAGCTTTGTGAGCATTATTTATGGCCAATCTCCCACTGAGGTGTATGTAAATTGTCCGATTTACGATGATGTAAGATTGGAAAAATAAAAGTGCGTTTATGATATATGTATGTATGTTACTCGCACCAAAAATAATATACAATAAAAGTGGAGCAATTTGCTAGATTGAAAATCTGCAGCAGGTACAAACCTGTGGCGACTGATTTTTGGATTGCTACCTCTCGAGCACACACGCTTGATTCAATTTGAGTATTTTTTGTTCGATTTCCTTTCGATGCACCATTATTTATTACTCGAAAATGTCAGGCCTCGTTGTTCCCGCTGCTTCGTGTTTGTCCGCTGTTAGCGTGGCTTCAACTTTAATGTCAGCCAGACAACAGAAAAGTCTGCCCTGGCCATGGGAATGAATGGCCCCGCCGCACTGAAGGCGCATTGGAGTTGATCGGGGCCCTGTCGGGGGTAAAAGTACAGACGGAAAAAACGGTACGATATATATGAAAAATAAATCGACAGCAACAATCTTCTTTGGTTTTATTAATATTTGTATCATTTTACGAGTTTTTATTTCTAGAAATCCACTTAATTTTGAAGAGTTTTGGAAATTTCGAAACTATTTGGGTAAGGTTTCAATTATTAAATTATTAAAATCATTAATTTATCTACTATATTTATCGTAACTTGGCCCTCAAGCGCACACTGAAAAAACGGATTTTGTCAGTTACCTTGTAAAAATCCCAAGTTTTTTCTGAGTGTAGTTATAGTTGCATATTCGGGGAGATTGAAGATAAAGCCTGTCGCAATTCACGTGGAGCGTCAGATCCTATGACGGGCCATAAAAGGCGCGACGCACCGGTAACGGGCACTAAACAAACAAACCGAGCCGAATGGGAGAAATACGAGTACACACATTTTATTTTGTTGGGACTGTGGGGCCGAATCAAAGATTGAAAATTAACATAATTGGGGTTTAATGACAGTGGGCTCTGTGGGCTCCCTCGAGACACGGTTGCCGTTTTAATGGGCGTGTACGGGGCGTGGCCGCTCAGTTTTCTGTGGCATGTCCGGACTAGAGCTACGCATATCAGGGCGCTCCGTTTGGGCGGCGACCTTGCTGCTCCACTTCTTGCTGCTGGCTTCAGGTGTTGATGGTTTTGGCATGAATCTGATGACGGTTCCCAACAACGACAAGTCACAGGGAGCCTGCATCCTAGCCCTGCTCCGAAAGTACTTCGACTCCGGGGACGGTCTCTCGGGCTCGGTGCTCTGTATCAGCCGCAACTACCAGCTGCACAATGTTCAGGAGCGGCTGCTCAGTGGCATGAACTTGTATGACGGATATCCCTGGACCCTGCTGGTCACGAATCCCAGGGAGGGGTCCCCATCCTCTGAATTCGTGATGCACGAGAAGCCGCAGTGCTATTTCCTGATTGTGGAGAATCTCGAGGACGAGGATCTGGACGAAGTGTTTGACTACTGGAAGGGCATGCTGAACTGGAATCCACTCGCGCAGTTCGTGGTCTACCTGGCCGCGGTGGAGGAGACCGACGAGGAGATGACAGACCTGATGGTGGAGCTGCTTCTCACGTTCATGAACAAGAAAATCTTTAACGTGAACGTGATTGGGCAGAGCGAGGAGAACGAGTTCTACTACGGCAAGAGCGTCTTTCCCTATCATCCGGACAACAATTGCGGAAACCGAGTAATAGCCGTGGAGCTGCTCGATGCCTGCGACTATCCGAGTGACCACAGAGGCGATAACGATGGGGACGGTGACTATGAGGAAGAAGACGATAGTGAAAGCGAAAACGAAAACGAAAACGAAGAGGATGTTGAAATCGAAGAAAATGGGGGAGAAGGATCTACAGAAATTACAGGAGAAAGTCAAGAAGGGGCTAATGAAGATATAACAGTCGAGTCTAAAGAGGATGAAAAACAAGAAGATAATAATGAATCACCATCTCTTTACGGGGAGATGGAAGAAAATACAGAAAATAATGATGAAGAGAACGATACTCGTAATAAAGAAATGCAACACGAAGGAAACGATTCAGATCTCTACTTAGAATCTAATGATAGCTTGATTGGCAGCAAAGGTCTTATAGTAAGAATGTATGAGTACGCTGATCAATCAGCGGAGAATAAAGCTCAGTCCAAAGAGGGTAGCAATGATTTTCATTACGATCTGTCAACAGAGGTCCAATCTGGACATGGTGTTCAGAGCAGCAAGGAAGATCAATTTGATCGATCGTCGGAAGGTCCCAAGGCAGATGAGAGTGGCAATGAAGATCCACCTGCTAAATCAACTGAGAGTAATAATGAGGACCCATCTGGTCAATCAACGGATAGTAAAAATCAATCGGAAGATCAATCAGAGCATTCAACTGAGAGTGACGAGCGGCACAGGTCTCCCAATGTCACACCCAAAATAGAGGCTACCATCGAAGAGTTCTTTCGAGCAAAGTTTGAGGATAAGTTTCCACGCGACCTGAGCGGATGTCCGCTGACGGCCGCCTTTCGGCCCTGGGAGCCCTACATCTTCCGCAGCGGCGAGGAGCCTGTAGAGGACTACTACTACGGTACACAGGGAGACGGCGACTATAATGAGACTACCAGTTATGGGGATTCAGGAGATGAAAGCTACGCGGATGTAGAAGCAGCGGACACCACCGGCATCCTGGAGGCAGACGGCGGGGCGGATGGGTCCAAGTCCCAGCTCAGTGGAATTGAGTACCAGATGGTGCAGACCATTGCGGAGCGCTTAAATGTACACATCGATATGCAGGCGGAGAACAGCAACCTATACCATCTGTTCCAGCAGCTAATCGACGGGTAAGCGGAGTCCCATTCCAATAAACCCCATCCCACACAAACACACACTTATGTTTCAGCGAAATCGAGATGATTGTGGGTGGCATCGATGAGGACCCCAGCATTAGCCAGTTTGTGTCCAGCTCCATTCCTTACCACCAGGACGACCTCACCTGGTGTGTGGCACGGGCCAAGCGCAAGCACGGGTTCTTCAACTTCGTGGCCAACTTTAATGCGGACACAGGCTTCCTGCTCCTGCTCTTCATTGTCACCTGCTCCTTCATGGTGCTGATGGCGCAGCGCGTCACTGGCTTCCGCCTACGGAATCTCAATAATTATTTCGCCATTTGCCTGCGGATGCTGGGGATTCTCTTGACCCAGGCCATGCCCGCCCAGACGCTTTCTTTGGTTCTGAGGCAGCTCTTTGCGCTGTCCTTTCTGATGGGCTTCTTCTTCAGCAACACCTATCAGAGCTTCCTCATAAGCACGCTCACCACTCCGCGCAGCTCGCATCAGATCCAGTCTCTGGAGGAGATCTACAGCCATCGCATGACCATCATGGGCAGCTCAGAGAACGTTCGCCATCTGAACAAGGATGGAGAGGTGATTCATATCGGCAGTACCTCAGTATATCAGAGATAGCTTATCCTTCCCTGTCCCTTGCAGATCTTCAAGTATATTCGTGAAAAGTTCCAGATGTGCTACAATATCGTGGACTGCCTCAATGATGCTGCAAACAATGAACATATCGCCGTGGCTGTCTCCCGGCTGCACTCCTTCTACAATCCACGCATCCAGCGCGATCGCCTATTCTGCTTCGACCGCCGGGAGTCCCTCTACGTCTACTTGGTCACCATGCTGCTTCCCAAGAAGTACCATTTACTGCACCAGATCAATCCGGTCATCCAGCACATCATCGAGTCGGGCCACATGCAGAAGTGGGCCCGCGATCTGGACAGGAGGCGCATGATCCACGAGGAGATCAACCGCGTACGGGAGGATCCCTTCAAGGCCCTGACTCTGGCTCAGTTCCATGGGGCGTTCGCCTTCTCCAGTGGCCTTCTGCTGATCTCCTTCAGCGTCTTTCTCATAGAGTGGGCATTGGTGAAGTGTTATTATAGAGCGCGTGGATGAATCTACGCACGAGACGGTTATTTAATTGTAGTACAGAGTATGAACATTTTTAGGACACATTTTTGAATACCCATCAATACATTCAACAACATATTATTGGTTTTTCACAGTGACAAATAGCTGCTGGCAAAAAAAAAAAATATTTTTCAGCTACAGAACATAGTCCTAGTGAGTCCAGAATCTAAGGCAATGAATCCCAATAATACCATAAATAGAACCATTGCAACCATCAGTGACTCCAATTAGCACGCACACCAATGTATATCCTGTGGAACAAAATTCAATCATAGAATTTAATTAATTAATTGCAAACTAAACATAAAAATCGTTGAGCTCCTGCCCGAAGAAATTCATAAATATATATATTAATATTTTCTTGGCACATAATTCGATTTAAAAATACGAAAATTGCAATACACCGTGGAATGCACGGCTGCGTCGCTATAGCCGTAGTCGTAGCCGTTGTTGTTGCTGCTGCCGTTGCCGTAGCCGTTGCGGCTGCTTGTCAAGAAAGCGGACAGGCGCGCACGCCGCCAACGTCAAGCTGTCGTCGGCATTCGCCTCCGTCGCTTTGCGCATCCTTAAAAGGTGGTGGTCTATGTACAGCCTGGTGCCTCCGCTGGTGCCTGGCCTCCGCCGTTGCTGCTGCTGGCTGGTGCGAGTATATGTGCTTTTCATACATTTTTATAAATAATATTTTTAGGCAGAACATTTGTTGCAGTATTTTCAAATTGGCAGCTTTTTGTTGTTGCTGGCCAACACAATTCAATCAGCTGCTAGCCAGCCAATGTAGGCCGAACAAATTTCAATACACACAAGCGATAACATAGATACTGGTGCTTCCACATATGTACATACATATGTATCGTACAAGCAATCGTTGTGGTTGGGTGAATGAAAGACACGTTAATGGTATTCAACAAGGCGTTGTAAATATGTAGATGACACCGAGCTGATAAGATGAATCAGCGAGTGAATGAAAATAAAATACGAGTATGAGTATTACGGTATTCGGGACGGGAAATACTAAGATAGACAAAATATTCGATTTGATATAGCATTAACGCAAACACTGAGGGAAATCAAGTCTATTACAATTTTTAAGAACTTTGATTCAGAAAGGTCTTAAAAATTACACATCGTTTGGTTGATCTTTTAAGTTTTATTTGGAGTTATAGAATATTAGTTGGGTGCTACTTTGAGTCCCTTAAAAATCAAATACTACCCATAGTACATGAATGTAGAAATGAAAGATAGAGAATTGTTGATAAATATGTAGTCAAGCGAGGAAACTAGTTCTGGCCCGTAAACGTTAAATTGGACCAGACATAGAACAAGATTGACACCTCGAATCGGGGGTAAGAATTAAATATACGATTTTGAAAAGTAATTCAGAGAAACAAATTTTATTATCTGTCCACGTTAATTTGTATATAAATTGATTCAAGATAATATAACCCAGTGTAACCTGCAATTCCATTCATTAGGCTACATATTGTAGGGTATTCAAATGGCAGCACAATTGAGCAGGTTGTTCCTCACCTGCGATAACTGGCCAATCGCATACTTTTCTATATTTAAATTAAAATTTAAAATATATAATTCTCTTGAGTTTTCCGCTGAAAATAGAATTCCATACTCTAGATACGTTTCTGCGCGTAAGCGTCAAAGAAGCTCATGCAAAAACGTGAGAGCGCACGATTTGTATTTTTATTTTCCTTCTTTTTCTTTCGTTTCTTTTCCGAATTCCATTTCACACAGTTTTCCACCCACACGCACGCATTTTAAGAGAATTGGGTAAACAACAAATGCCTTTGTTATTTCTTGTATTTTTGAATATTCCATGAGTACCATATAAGTCAATTAAAGATTTGATCATTAACTGAATAGATTTTAATGATGTTGTTTATTATTAATGGCGATAAATTGGGGACGGCCAAGAGACATATTCAAGAAATATTAATGGGGAAATAGGTTGAAGCATATTTCATTGATTTCCGTTTGACGAACACAAACTTGCGAATCTATAAATGCACTGCACGCTCTATTACAAATTTTCGACTTGTGTTTATGGGGTCCAAATCCCTAACCACCCACACCCAGCGCCACAAATTACGGCTGGGAGAATGTTGTACGAATATATGCATGTACTTAATTCACAGAGATTTTTGGTTTCTGGTTTTGTTTTGAGATTCGTATTTTTCTAATTACGAGTGCGTTCTCATCGCCGAGAGATTTCCATCCCAACCATGTATGGATTGGACCAACGTGCAAATGTTGATTAAAAATTAGACAAAACAAAAACGAACACACATACAGATACAGATACAGATACAGATCTACTCTACGAACAGTTATAGATACAGAGATACGCCTACGATGGAAATGCTGGGGCTCTGATCCGGAGGATGTCCCTGTATTTGTATCTGTCCATCTGTGTAGCCCATGTAGTATCTGTGGGTGAGCCATTTCGTAGTTGTTCAGCCAGCGACTGCGGCTGTCTCTGCCTCTCGGAATTATGAACGAAGCGAACCGAAATCCAAAAACAAACGAAAACAAATTATTTTTAAAGAAATTCAAAATTTCCCCCTCGGCGAAATGTGCATCCATGCCATGTGCTGCATATGTATGTCTGAGAGTGCTCGTATCTGTGTGTGCCTCCCTGTGCGCGTGTGTTGGTGTGTGAGTGTGGGCTTGCGTGTGGAATATCTACTCGACTGAGGGTCGCTCGAATGGTATAAATATTAGCGCATCTCGGTCCAGCGGCCACTCGCAGTTCTACAGCGAAAGTGTTGATTTAGGTTTCTAGTTGTCTTTTCCTTTGACGGTCAGTATCCCACAGCCTTTCTAATCACACTCAGATTCAGAGATCAGAAAACACTGAAATTCACGAACATCAAAATTGTATCTTCTCCTGCCGGTTATTAACGGACTGCTCTATCTTTTACAGTAAAACAAATACTATACAAGATGTGTGACGATGAGGTTGCCGCATTGGTCGTTGATAACGGCTCGGGAATGTGCAAGGCTGGTTTCGCTGGAGATGATGCCCCCCGCGCTGTCTTCCCCTCGATTGTGGGTCGTCCACGCCATCAGGGTGTGATGGTGGGCATGGGACAGAAGGACTCCTATGTGGGCGATGAGGCCCAGTCCAAGAGAGGTATCCTCACCCTGAAGTACCCCATCGAGCACGGCATCATCACCAACTGGGACGACATGGAGAAGATCTGGCATCACACTTTCTACAATGAGCTGCGCGTCGCCCCCGAGGAACACCCAGTTCTGCTGACCGAGGCTCCATTGAATCCCAAGGCCAATCGCGAGAAGATGACCCAAATCATGTTTGAGACCTTCAACGCCCCCGCAATGTATGTCGCCATCCAGGCCGTGCTCTCGCTGTACGCCTCCGGCCGTACCACTGGTATCGTGCTTGACTCCGGCGATGGTGTCTCCCACACCGTGCCCATCTATGAGGGTTATGCCCTGCCACACGCCATCCTTCGTCTGGATCTGGCTGGTCGCGACTTGACCGACTACCTGATGAAGATCCTCACAGAGCGTGGATACTCGTTCACCACCACCGCTGAGCGTGAGATCGTTCGCGACATTAAGGAGAAGCTCTGCTACGTTGCCCTAGACTTCGAGCAGGAGATGGCCACCGCCGCCGCCTCCACCTCTCTGGAGAAGTCGTACGAGCTTCCCGACGGACAGGTCATCACCATCGGAAACGAGCGCTTCCGTTGCCCCGAGTCCCTCTTCCAGCCTTCCTTCCTGGGCATGGAGTCGTGCGGCATCCACGAGACCGTCTACAATTCCATCATGAAGTGCGACGTGGATATCCGCAAGGATCTGTACGCCAACATCGTCATGTCTGGAGGCACCACCATGTACCCCGGTATCGCTGATCGCATGCAAAAGGAGATCACAGCACTCGCGCCCTCAACCATCAAGATCAAGATCATCGCCCCACCTGAGCGCAAATACTCCGTCTGGATCGGTGGCTCCATCCTGGCCTCCCTGTCCACCTTCCAGCAGATGTGGATCTCAAAGCAGGAGTACGACGAGTCCGGTCCCGGCATTGTCCACCGCAAGTGCTTCTAAGCAGCAGCAGCAGCAACACCAGCCGCAGCCTCCACCACCCACACCACACCACACACCAACACGAACACACAATAATACAGCAACAACGAGAGCAGGATGGCGTCGGCCAGCCGGCGCCTAGGACTCGAAGATGATTAATTTTAAGTCGCACCTCTTGCTGCCCCGCCATCCAACCAGACGGACAAACAACCAAAGAAATTGAACCATCATGATATGTATTATACTTATATTAATATTTATTGGAAGTGTCGCACAAGCCGATGAGGAGAAGTTCAGGAGAATCAAGAATGCAAAATTTACAGTTTAAAAAATAAATTATACAAGTAGCATCCACTTTAAATTAAATCTAATGAAACTATATCAAACATGTCTTTCATTGCTGCAAGAAGCAGACAGTTTCTATCAGTATTTTTAGCCTTGCATCGCATCGACCATCGCGCACAGGAAATTATGAAATTTTGCACGCCCACTGCAAATTATCCGTATGGTACGTACGAGTACTATGTAAACGAACATCCATCCCATCTATAGCTGGAGGGGGCAGAGCCAAGGTGCATATGTACATTCTGGTGGCATGGGTACGTACGATGATCAGTCATTTCTCCGCTTCCAAAACAGTCCATTTTCGCCGATCCACAGGAGCTGCCCCCACGTCGTCGGCGGGGGTTATGGATTGGCTATAAATAGGACCAAAGCATGCTGCCAGAGCATCAAAAATGTGTTCTCTAAAACGATATCCAAATTCTCGTATGTACACAAGATTTCTCTTTGGAATCAGCATCAACACTGCCCGGAGCCGATGCGACCGCCGGCTGTCTTTTAATTGCAGTGCCACGACCTCGGGGGCTGCGAAAATATCTTGGAATTTCAAGTACATGTGTGTGGTTGGGAAGGCCTCC